AATCATTGCCCAAATTAAGATATCAAAGATATTTTCTTCTAAATGCCTATAACTTTAATTTTTATGTTTGTGTCTGATTTATTTTGAATTAATTTTTGTATTTGAGATGAGATACTGATCACAGTTACATTTTATTTCTTATGGATATCTGGCTATTCCAGCACCTTCTGATGAAAGAATTATTGAACTTGAGCTTTCTTCTGGGGCCATGTGAATTGACCCTGTATTGGTCTTGAAGTCTTTCCTTTGGGATGGGGTCAGCCTGCCCAGAAAAGGGGTTTTTGATCTTCTGCCTGGAGGGTAAGGATCTGGATGTGGGTGTCCCAAGAGCTCAGTTGGGGGAGGGGGCTGAGGGTCTCATACTCAGCATTTAGTTCGAACACTTGCTCCCCTCTTTTGAGTATGGCACCTATACAACTGTGATTGGCCATCACTAGTCTGGAGACTCTGGAGAATGAGCAAACTGACCTTCTCTTAGAGCTTCTCTTAGAGAGGCAGTTGTCCAGTTGTGTGAAGTAGGGCAAGGGACCTGGGGATCTGACTTCTCAGATATCATTAAACTCTTCCATTTTTAAGTTACTCTTTCCCACTTTCCTCAGACTTAGACATACCTTGTACCACTAGTTGCATGCCTGTTTAAGTCAGAAGTGCAAATTATGTGTGTTCCTAGTTTCTCTATCACTGGCCTAGATTTTGGCATTCACAGGTCAGCTCAGTTAATTATCATTTTGTCCTTTGTCTTCCAGAACCATTGTTTTTCCTCCTCCTGTTTGAGTGTGTATATCTATCTCTGCTATTATTTTCAGTAAGATTTTAAAAGGGAACAGTTTAACTACTACCCTCTTTAGCTATTTAGAGGCAATTAATTTGTCTTCAATGTCCCCAGTTCTGACACACTTCCTTAGATGTTATCTAAGCCCTTATGCACAAAGTGGGGCCTAGAACCAGCAGTGTTGCCTCAACTGGGAGCTTTTGGGAATGCAGAAATGTGTCCTCACTCCACCAATTAAATCAGAGTCTACATTTTAATAACATCTCCAGGAATTTGTATGGTCATTGTAGTTAGAGAAGTACTCTGGGTCTTATAATCATTAGATTTAGTTTCACCTAGAGTGGTGGGTATGCAAAATAGGACATTTTCTTGCTTTTGACATGAATTTTCAATTTTATTTCTAAATAGCATTTCTGCCAGCCAGTTAGCGGACAAGGTAGAGGAGGCAGTTCTGGAACGTTTGAAACCCCTCTTGGTCAAGGCCCAGGTAATCTAGTTCATCTCCTCTGCCTGTCTTTGGAAATTCTAGAATAAAAAGAGTTGCCACAGAGGTCGTACTGATCCTTTGTTGGGTCAAGTGTCTCTTTAGCCTGAAGCTGCATTGCACAGCACAGCCCTCTCTAGACACCTGCAGACCACTGCACACTATATTGGTATGTCCTGTGTTATGGGGAAGGGAAACAGATAGGGGGAAGAAAGGAATGACTTGCTTTTGAGAGAAGTGAGATTTTAATTTGGGGAACAAGCTTTGATTGCAGTTTTCATTCCTAACCCCCAAAATTTATTTAGTTTCCTATTTCTACTCTAATGCTGTCCTCTCTCACCACAGCGATTTGGAATGCTTGGCTTTAGGAGAGGGAGAGTATGACACTTCTCTGCACAAACCAGTACTTTCCTGAAGATGAAATAATATGTAGCACCACCAAGAGGTTGTGCCATCCTCCCCTAAACAGTGAGCTAAATTCTACAGGTCCTGTAGACTCACTGTACAAATAGAAACCATCATGTTTGGATGTGATGTGCATTCGAGGCAAGCACTCTACCAACTGAGGTATATCCCCAAGCCTCCCCCCTTAAAATATTTTTTAATTTAGTTGTAGATGAACACACAGTATCTTTATTTATTTTTATGTGGGGTTGAGGATTGAACCTAGTGCCTCATACATGCGTGGCAAGCACTTTACCATTGAGCTACAGCCTCAGCACCCCCAGCTTTTTTTGTATTTTATTTAGAGACAGGATCTCGCTGAGTTGCTTAGGGCCTCTCTGAGTTGCTGAGTCTAGCTTTGAACTTGTGATCCTCCTGCCTCACACTTCTGAGCCTTTGGGATTATAGGCGTGCATCACCACACCCAGTGAATTCTGGGCTGTTACAAACAGCAGCAGCATTGCTAAGAGTTTTCCAGTTAGTACTATCAACAGTCAATGTTTATAAATAACTGGACAAAAATAAACACAAACAAATTCATGCAAGTTGTCATGATAAAAGTAGAATTTTCTTTTACTATGTTAACTTATGAAGAGCTGTAGGACCTTAAACAAATTCTCAGAGTAATTTTCTTTAAAATGGAGAAGACAGTTTGCTCCCTTTTACTTGTAAATAATAAGTAAAATTTAGCTCTTGGTAGATTTATCTATAAACCAGATGATCTCTATACCAGGAAAAAGCTCTTAAAAGGGGACCATGATAATATATTTCTCTTACAGCTACTGTTTTCATTAAACATGCATATGAAATTTATTTTTATAAAATACATGAGGTTTTTGTTTTAGAATTTAAACTTGTATATGCTTGTCATCAAAAATTCAAATTAGGAAAGAAAAAGTATAGTATGAAAAATAAAACTTCCGCACAGACAGATCATGTGCTTTTCTGTACCATGCTGCTTTCTTTATATTTTGTCACTCTTTCCATGATAGCACATTGAGATTTCCCTTATCTTTTTTTGGATGGAGGTGGTGGTGGGGTAACAAAGATTGAACTCAGGGGCACTTGACCACTGAGCCACATCCCTAGCCCTATTTTGTATTCTCATTGAGTTGCTTAGCTCCTCGATAAGTTGCTGAGGCTGGCTTTGAACTCTCGATCCTCCTGCCTCTATCTCCTGAGCTGCTGGGATTACAGGCATGCACCACCACACCTGGCTGTCCTTATCTTTTTTAATAGAACATGGTGTTCTTGGTATTCCATTCTTTATAGATGGAAAATATTACATATACAACACACATGCACACACACACACACCACACCACACACATATATACCACATACACACATACACACACACACATATCACACACACACACACACCTTAATTAACCATGTTTGTGTTGTTGGTTATTTCTAGTTGTTGTTTTTTATTTTTTGTTGTTTTTTTTTTTTGATAATTTTGTTGCATTTATTCCCCTGATTTTTTAACTTTGATTAAAGTTGAGCATTTTTTCTTTAATATAGTTTCTTCTGTTAGAAGATTTTTTTTAAATGCTATAGCTGTAGCCTTTTGCTGGGTGTCTTATTTCATGCCAAGCACTGTGCTAAGTGTCCCAATACCCAAGCTCTTCTGAAATCTTTCACCTCTGAAATACAAGATTATTATTTCCATAGAACAGATGAGAAGATTGAGACTCAGAGAGATTGAATAAACTTGTCCAAAGTTGCAAGCTGATGAGTGGGCTGCACCAAGCTTTAGTCCCAAGAGCGTCTCATTCTTTACCTAGCAGACATTCTTGCAAGACATATATTAGGATCAAGAGCAATATAATGCATGTAGAAATGCTTTGTACATGTTAAGGATACACGGTCAAGAAAGGCTGGTGAAATGCTCCCAGATTACAACTACAGAATCTCAAGCAAAGATAAAGAATTCTGAACTTTGTGATGTTTTGAGTCTTTTATAGTATAAAACTATTGACCCAAAAGAAGGTACCATATTGTACACATTATTATTATATTCAGGAGAAGGTACCATATTGTACATTATTGTACAATGTATGTGTACATTATTATAATGTGTACAATATGATACCTTCTCCTGAATATAACAGAAGGAAGAGATTGTTCTACTAATGGGCAAAACATCTAAATTATCTAATTTACATGGACAATAATCTATTATTTGATTAATGCCATCATTTAAATAACTGATAAAAATTGTACTGATGTTAGTGCTTTTGATGTTTAGTGACTTAGAAGTTTTAACATAGAAACTCTACCAGTTTGATCATTATGCTTTTGGTTTATTATTATCAGCAATAATCTTTAAGTTTTTAATCACTTTTCTACCCTTCCCTTATTTTGTAGGCTACAGCTGTTAATTCTGAATCCATCAATATTCATCAATTGGATTACTTTTTGGAAGATACTTCTCATGAGCTCTGGGCTATGACTCATGCTAAGATATTTGGTTCAGAAACCTCACCCACCTTGAGGGACAGCAAGGACATCCCAAATCTGGAGATCATGATGCTCCGAATGGAGGAAATGGAAGTAAGGTCTAGGGCTGCTGGTCTGGTTTGCTGCTTGGGCTCACCTCTTCCTCCTCATGCCTCTGGAGCTTAATAAGCCAGAGTCATGTGGTCCTTCTTTTAAGTCCCAGCTATATTGCCAACTAAGTGTATGACTTTGTTATGGTCAGTTACCCTGTCTAATGAATAGGGTGTTTAAGGATGAGAGGTATAAGGCGTTCAGCATATAGTCTGATGCATAACGCAATAAGTGATAACTATTATTATCCTCTTAATAGTAATGATTTGTGATTCCAGAAACACTGGGACCATAGACTTTTTCATCCATTAGCTTATAAGTACTATTCAGTTGTCTCTTCTGCTCTTCTGTAGTATGATCATATCAAATCACAGATAATTTTACCTTTAATTGCTGTACTACTACTTATGCTTTTCTCAAAAATTTAACCCATTCCCTGGATTATTCAGAGCAGGAAATTGAGATCCAGTAAGGGAATAAGTTGAGATCCAGTAAGGGAATAACAAAAAATTACAGGGAGAGCTTGGATGAGAATTCAGCTCTTCCTGGCAGCAAGTTCAGCATTTTCTTTTCATTGTACCATGATTAAATTTCAATTGACCTTTGCTGCCTAAAAGAAACATTATAAGGAACACAATTTTTTGTTGATTTTTGAAAATTCTAAGATATATACTTTATTCTGATCTTGGAACTGATTTTCCCTTGTTGAGGATAACTTTCCAGACCTAAGCCATCCCAAACAATGGCCACTAGCTGCATGTGCCTAGAAATATTAAATAATTAAAATTAAAACGCACAACAAGTGCTCAATAGTTAGTAGCTACTGTATTAGACAGGGCACATAAGAAATGTTTCTGTCATCACAGCAAGTTTTAGTGGGCAGTACTGGTCTAGATTGCAGTCATGTTAATCACCTTGTTTTATTTTACTTCACCTCATGAGCTAATCACTTCCTATCCTGGCAACCACCTGTTCCTGGCCCTGTGTCTGTATTAATCATGTCTGAAGAACTTTTCCATCCCCACTAGTTCTGTTTACAATGAAACTCATTTTTTCTCATAAATTAAACTTTTTTTTTTTTTTTTTTAAGAAATACCAGGAGACGGTTCGCCAAAGATATAATAAAATTGTATATGCCGAACCTCATTTATGGATTCAGGAAGTAGGAAATGGTAGGTATTCCCCCCACTCCTTCCTCCAACATTTTATTCTAAAAAGTTTCAAACACCCAGAAAAGCTTAGAAAAATTATACAGAGAATATTTGTGTACCCACCTTTGAGACTATAAAATGAACATTTTGCTGATTGTCTATCCATGTGTTTATCCCTCTGTCCATCAGTTCATCTTGTCTTTGCATTTCAGATGCATCTTCACATTTCAGTGTTGCCTGATATCAGTAGTTTATCCCTAATTTTGTAGCATATATATCATCAGCTAGAATTTAATATTTATAGTCTTTTTCTTTTGTGGTTTAATATTTAAATATAATCAAATGTATAGATCTTAATTGTCATTTGATGAGTCTTGACAAATGGGTACATGTTTGTTACCCAGCCACTATCCAGACATAGCACACATCGTCATCTCAGGAAGTCCCCTCATGCCCTTCCCAGTCAGCTCTCCACCACCAGGCAACCACTGTGCTTTTTAAATCAGTTTTGACTTTTCTAGAATTTTATATAAATGTAATCATAGTATATACTCTTGTCTAGATTCCTTTCATTCAGCTTAGTGTTTTAAAGATTTATGTTGCTTATTCTCTTGTTGCCACTGGAGCAAATTGAAGTTTTTAACAAGTTTAATCCATAAATTTAGTGACTTAAAACAGGTTTATCCTCTTCTGGTTCTGGAAGTCAGAAGTCTAAAATGGGAGATGGGAGGGCTAATTCCTTCTAAGGCTCCAGGAGAAGATCTTTTCCTTAAGTTTCTAAGACTGTTGGCATTCCTTCGTCTGTGGCCTTTGTAGTGCAGCCTCTGTTTTCATTCTCACGTTGTCTTTTTTCTTCTGTAATCAGATCTTTCTCTATGTGTCTATTATAAGGACCCTTCTGGTCACATTTAAGGCTCCAGTATTCCAGGATTCTTTCCTCATCTCAAGATCTTTAGCTTGCTGGGTGTGGTGGCACATAGATGTAATCCCAGTGGCTCAAGAGGCTGAGGCGGGAGGATTGCAAGTTCAAAGCTACCCTCAGCAATTTAGCGAGGCCCTAATCAACTCATTGAGACCCTGTCTCAAAATAAAATACAAAAAAAAAAGGGCTGAGGATGTGGCTCAGAGATAAGTTCCCTTGGGTTCAATCCCTGGTGTGTGTGTGGGGGGGGGGGTCTTCAGCCTAATTGAAGTCCTTTTGGCATAGAAGGTAACATTCACAGGTTCCGGATATCAGGTTGTAGATGTCTTGAGGGGCCTTATTCATCCTGCTACTCTATTGTATTCTCTTGTATTGCTGAGTAGTATCCTGTGGTATGAAGGTACTACATCTGGTTTATGCATTTACCTGTGAATCTGCATTTGATTGCTTCCAGTTTGGAGTTATTAAGAGTAAATCTGCTGCTATTAGGAGTAAATCTGCTATGAATACATGGGTAGTCTTTGTATGGACCATGTGTTTTTATTTTTCTTGGATAAATAACCTAAGAGTAGACTTGCCAAGTCATATGATAGGTGTATTTAACTTTATAAAAAACAGCCAGACTTTTGCCAAAGAGGCTGTACCATTTTACATTCTGTTAACCTTTTCATTTACACTAAGCTCCAGTTGTTCCATGTCCTTGCCAGCATTTGGTATTTGTCAGGTTTTTTTAATTGTAACCATTCTTGTAGGGGAATAGTGGTTTCTCATTGTGACTCTAATTTCATTTTCCCGATGAATAAATAAATACAGAACCTTTTCAAGGGATTATTGACCATTGGTATATCATCCTTTGTGAAGTATCCAATTTTTTAAATTGTCTTTTTATTTTTGATTGTGGAAATTCTTGTGTTCTGGATACAAGCTCTTGTCAAATATGTTTTGTTTTTTAGTGTTTTGCTTTTTTTTTGGTGGTGCTGAGGATTGAACCCAGGGCCTTGTACATGCCGAGCAGCAATTCTACCACTGAGCTACATCCTCAGCTCTGTTTTTGTTTTTTAATTTAATAGCTTTAAAGAGGTATAATTCACATAAATGCACCCTTTTTAAAGTATATAATTTATTAGTTTTTAATATGTTCACAAAGCTAACAAACCATCACTACTTTCTGAATTCCAGAACATTTTCATCACCTCCCAAAATCCCTATATCTGTTAGTCCTTCCTACCCGTTCTCCCTCCCTCTGTCCTGGCAGTCAGCTAGATATTTTGCAAATATTTTTCCCTGTAAGTGGTTTACCTGAGTATTTTCTCAAAGGCATTACATTTTTAATTTTGATAAAGTCTAACTTACTAWTTTTTTTCTTCTGTGATTTTTGCTTTCTGTGGTCTGAGGAACCTTTTTCTATCTCTGAGGTTAGAAGATGTTCTCTTGTTTTCTTCTAGAAGCTTTTGGGTTTTATCTTTTATATTAAGGTCTGTGATCTTTGTTGGATAAAATTTGCCTGTGGTTTGAGAGTAGAAATCAAGGCTCATTTATTTTTTATCCCAGTGGATTGCTACTTGTTCCAGCACCATTTGTCACAAAGACGTTTGCTTTTCTCTTCCACTTTTTGGAATTCATACATACACATTTTGGCCTCAATTGCTAGGTTGCTATCACAATTTTGGCTGGGAAATGTTAATCAAATTCTCTTTGACTCACACTTGTCAGTTACTGCCTTACTCAGTGAAAGGAGGAGAATAAAATGTGGTTAAGTATTACCTTTAAAGGAATCTAAGTACTATTTGTCTACGCTTACTAAGAGACATAAAGGAAATTGGGTGTAAAAAAGGTTTACAACAGCATATGTCATACATAATTATTTTAAAATATGTGTTTGGGGTATTGTCTTAAGAAAAAATAATTTCCATGTCATTTTTCCCCCTCTGAGTCAGTTTTGTTCTGACAGAAAGATGAGCCATCCAAACAAAATATTAAAGAATTCTTTTTGTTTTATGTAGATTTTAAGTACTGGTTTTTGTTGAAGTTATTCTCTTTTTCTAACAGTCCTCCAGCCTCCGTTTGTATCATCGAATACCAATTCAGTGACCCTTCAAGACCCGGCTCATGTGACCTTACTTATAAAGTGATTTTCCTCATACAGGTTGAGCATCCCTAAACCAAAAATCTGAAGTCCAAAATGCTGTCAAAGTTTTAAAGTTTTGAATTTTCAGATTAGGGAAAGCTTAACTGGTAAAAACTATACAAATATTCCCAAATCTCAAACGCTTCTCATCCCAAGCATTTAGGACAATGGACATTCAACCTCTATCTCTGTTTTAGAACTGTGCTCCCTTCCTCCATTTATTGCTGATGAATTCACATAGCACATTCTAGCATGTTCTATCAAGTGTTAGAACTGTTTGGTAAGGTGTCTTATCTCACCCAACTATGCTACCAATTTTTTGAGGCTGGGTTTATCATGTTTCCCTTTTTGCCTTCTACTGTGCTAGCACAGCAAGACCTTTCTAATTATTATCTAGTCAATCAGTGGTCATTTTAGCTTCTTTTCAGGAAACAGAGTAAAGAGAAACGAAGGGCAATTTGTTTTACTTACGGTTGGCCCTTGGCCACTAAATTAGGTTGCATCATGTTGAAGACAGTCTTGGGAGGACTTCTTTTCAAGGATGATTTGAATTATCACTATCTAGGACTCTACATAAAATCTAGGTATGCATTGAAAAGGACCTCTTTAGAATAGTAAGAAATTAGTTTTTGCATACTTGTAATTCCAGAATTATGAAATTGTAAGAAGAATCCTGTTTTCAGTTTATTTTGTTCTGCTTGTTTGATGAAATGTATCACAGAACCAAATTTAAAGTGCTCTTTGGATTGTGCGATATCTATACCTCTTATCCTCTCTGTGACCATTGGAAAATTGATTTAATAATCTAAATAATATTTTCCAAAAGCTGACTTGTTTAGTCTTTCTGTTTTGACAGTAAGAAACCATAAGGATAAAAATGAGAGTCAGAGAAAGTTACTTCGGGCTGGGGATATGGCTCAAGCGGTAGTGCGCTCGCCTGGCATGCGTGTGGCCCAGGGTTCGATCCTCAGCACCACTCTCTCTCTCTCTCTCTCTCACTCTTTCTTTAAAAAAAAAAAAAAAGAAAGAAAGTTACTTAACATACAGATGCTCCCTACCTAAGAAAAGGACAGATTTTCTTCCTATATTTGCAACACATTTAAAATTAGAAATAATCTTAAAGGCAAAAGAGCTGTCAAGCCTGCAAGTTGTGGTTAATAAATTAATGTTTTGACTATCATCATGTAGATTTTTCTCCAGCATTGCCCAGAAACAAATTAGCTAATTAAGTGTTGAAGTGTGAGTGTTTTTTTTTTTTTTTTCCTTCCCTTCTTCTTCTTTAGTAATCAAAGCATTTAAAGGTTAAAAAACAACCGCTTCAGACTCCTTGAATGACTTACTGGGTCCTAATGGAACCTGCATAGCCTGGGCCACCCACAGACCTTGTCAAGAAGTCTTCCTCAGGGGCTGGGGATGTGGCTCAAGTGGTAGCGCCCTCGCCTGGCATGCTTGTGGCCCGGGTTCGATCCTCAGCACCACATACAAAGATGTTGTGTCCGCCGAAAAACTAAAAAATAAATGTTAAAAATTTTTTTAAAAAATAAATAAATAAATAAATTTATATGTTGTTTAGAAAATGCCTTTCATTTCCATGAGGAGGTCCCTTCTCCCAGGCAAACTGCTGTTCTGAGCATTTAAAAAAAAAAAAAGAAGAAGTCTTCCTCAGAGCTGGCAGAGATTTCTGAAGGAGCTTAATATTTCTTAAGACTGATTTTTTTCATCTGTTTCTCTGTAACTTTTAAAATGAGCATTCTTTCCCTTTGCATGCTCTCTGTGCCCTTTTTGCTTAAGAGAGGTGATGTGACATCCTCACAGGTTATTGGCACTAGGATGGCTCTAATATGGACATCAACTTTTCCTTACATGCCATCATTTTATGCTTCTCCTTTTCTAGATCAGAAAATCCCAACAGTAAGTGAAAGTCCTCTGTCTCCCCATCCAATCAGAATCACAAAGACAGCAGCTCGCAAGGATCCAGCTGTGAACATCGTGTTAGAAAAGCCCTGCAATGGCAAGTAAGTGCCAGGACGCTGTTAGTCTCCATGGTGGTCGGCTGCCTTTGACGTCATTAAAGTCCAAGTTTCTTCAGTTCCCACTTGACAAAGAAGGTTTTTTTGGTGGGGCAGGGGTTGGGGGAGGTGGGGAGGATGGTAAGCAGGGATTGAACCACTGAGCCACATCCCCAGCCCAAATTTGTATTTTATTTAGAGACAGGGTCTCGCTGATTTGCTTAGCACCTCGCTGTTGCTGAGGCTGGCTTTGAACTCACAGTCATCCTGTCTCAGCCTCTGGAGCTGCTGGGATTATAGGCATGTGCCACCACACCCAGCAACAAAGAAGTTCTTTTGAGCAAGATCTTGCAAACTCCAAGATGACTAAGTAAAACAGCATGGTTATAGAAAGGCCATTGAGCATGTTGTATCTTGAGCCCTTCAGCACACCGTACCATGCATCCGGTTTTTCATGTTGAGAGCATTACTTTGGTGTATATGGGTTGTGCTGATACTTACTGCAGGATTTGCTCACAGAATTGCTTTGTGTAAGGAACACTAATGCCTGCGGTGTCGAGGGTTAGTACACTGAGAAGGAGAACAGTGTCTGATGATAGAATATTGAGCTTTGTTTAGTGTGAGAAAGAGAAATGAAGGTGAGCCTTTGGTTATGAAACCACTAGGATAAATTAACAGTTCACCCTTGCTTGCCAATGAAGTTTGAATGCCTTCATCCTCTTTATTTCTTCTCAGTTCCTTGGATGAAAGTGTGGGAACAGAGGAGAGATCAGAGAAAAGAGAGGCTTCCCTTCCCTCTCTTGCAGAAGATTCCCAACAGAGAGAAGGCCAGACTCCCCTCTTTGTCCCACCTGGTATGCGACATAGCATTGGCGACTACTGTAGCCGTTTTGAACAGTACCTCCGAATCATAGCTCATGAGGCCGTAGGCTCCTTCAATCCATGGCTGATAGCTGAAAGGTCAGTAAAATGTATGTGCCTGTGTTTAGGAACCAAGTGCCAAATTTTAGACTCATTGAAAAGCTGGAGAAAGGGCCAGCCAAGGTCTCATACTGTGCTTTTGGGCCCTAGGATTCCAGTTGTTGCTAGTGGACAGGCTTTCCCTGCTGATTGCCTTTTTTCAGATGCAGGAGACTAAAACCGCACGGGCTTTACTACTGCTCTGCTGCTGCCTCTTCTGATGCGAGTATCCTATCCAGCTCAGGCTGCCATAAAATGCCGCAGTCTGGGGGACTTAAAACAACAGGAATTTATTTCTCATAGTTCTAGAGGCTTGGAAACCTAAGATCAAGGTGTCTGGTGAGCATCCTCTTCCTGGCTTGCAGATGGTGGCCTGCTTGCTGTGTCCTCTTATGGCAGAGAAAGGAGCTGTGGTCTCTCTTCCACCTCTTATAAAGGTACTAACCCCATCCTGAGGGCTCCACCGTCATGATCTTATCTAAACCTAATTACCTTCCAAAGGTCCTACCATCACATGGGAAATTAGGGCATTGACACATGAATTTAGGTGGGGACACAAACATTCAGCCCCTAACAACAGATATAGTATTCAGGAGTACAGTCGAGGCTGGTTTCCTGTTGCAACTAGTGAGGGTGGTGTCCCATCCGAGAACACAAAATATTGCTAGGTAGGAAATATCATAATTATGAAATCTGCATGGTCGGACATGCTTGCCTTTGTAAGCAACAAGTTCTGACTCCACATTGTTATTAACCCTTCTCCTCCTCCARGTCATCTCACCTGGGAAAAGTAGTTTTATGACTCATAAAACAAGACCCTGCAGCTACTAAAGTTAGAAGGTTGGATAGCCTTCTTTTGTTTATGTATACCACACTTAAAAGATATGCATAAATTCGTTCTTTTGAAAAAGGACCAAAATTTAAATTTCTCATGGGTATCGCTTTATTACAGACATGCAAGGTTATTTTTTGTCATTGAGAATAAATATTATGACTATATTTTTTTCTTAAACAGGTTTTAAACATGTTTCAGGAATTAATAATCACCTCTTTTTTATTTGCCTGTGCTTTTATATGTTCAGCATCTTTCTGTACACGCTACCAACAATCTCTCGATATAATTTTCCTGATGAACAGAAATAGCAGTTGACCCCTGCTTCCCAGCCTCAGCCCTCCTTTTTCTGCTTGGACTCCCTTTCCTCCTGCCCTAATCTGGCCCAGCTGTTCTGCAGCTCTGCTCTGTGGCTCTTGTCCTGGAACTTCATCAGCAGCCTGAGTGTTGAATTAGCCCCCTCCTGATGTCCTTGTGCCCTTGTATTTCTCGTTCTTGTTTTACTCTCTCGTTTTGATGGAGCTTATCCTGCTTTGTGTATTGGAGGCAATTTCTTGAGACTTACAAGTTTGAAAATATATACCTTCATATTTGATTGATACTTTTGCTTGCTTGTTTATTTATTTATTTAAGTTTCAGTGGGACACAATACCTTCATTTTATTTATTTTTATGTGGTGCTGAGAATTGAACCCAGAGCCTCGCAAGTGGTAGGCGAGTGCTCTACTGCTGGGCCACAACCCAGCCCCTACTGGTTCCTTTTTTCCAAAGAATATACCTTCATTTTTTTGTGGGGGTGGAGAAGGGATTGTCAGTTCACTGCAAGAGTAGGAGTGGAAATCTATCAGCCTAACTGCTGATAGATCTGCAGATTTTCTTAGAGAACAAAAACAAATTTTCTTATTCTTGTTCTAGAAAATTTGTTTTTGTTCTCTAAATTTTCAACCCTTTTTCTTGTTTTTCTATCCCCTACCACGTTATGTCTTCCTGATTCCAGGTACTCTTACTTCCTGAGCCTCTCTGATGTTTGGTGGGATAGTCAGCTTACTTTTGCCTGGTGTCTCCCTCAAAGGCTTTGGTTTCAGTTTCCTCCATATTTCCTCTGTACTGCTAAATCAGTCATGATTTTTCATGTGTTTTTTGCCTTCTGAAAATTTTGGACATTTCTCATATACTTTGTGTGTCTCTTTAGTTTATGGTAGCCTTTGAAGCTTATWAAACCCTTTGTTCTGGGAGACTCTTCAGATGCACATCTGTTGTGACATGTGCTCTGAGGATTTTCTGTGGGGAGAGAAGTTAACTCAACTTGCTTCCATGTGTTCACTTATAGTTCTGTAGCGTACATACTCATTTTTCCATAACCTGTCAGGATCCCTTAGGCTAACCACCATATTGGGAAATCCAGAAGCAAGCCTAGGAAGATAGACTATTCCTTATTTGTTTTTATGCCCTAGTAAAATGATATATTTTGTTCATAGTTGTTTTTGTAGGTGTAGGCAAAATTCTCCCAGTCTATAAGGATAATAGGCTAAAATATAAAGGATGGAACTAATTAAAAAATCTGACTGGATTTTTACAGATGCTTTCCTCTGGCATCCTTTGGCACCAAGTGACAGTGTATCTGAACATTCTAGTTCTGTTGTTTTATTATTATTATTATTTTTAATTTATCCTGTTTTAACTTCTGAACGTTCCAAAGATGAGAGTTTTGTATTGATCAAATCTTGAAAAAAGCATCCAAAGGCAGTTGACTTCATCTGATAGTAGTCTCTAGGGTAAGAAATTATTCTAGCAAAGAATTTCTTTTCTGTATGTCTATTCTTCCTTATTCCTGAAGAAAGACAGTGTTCCAGTGCTCAGAGGGAGAAGATGATATAAACTGAATGCAAGTAATAAGTAAAAGGGAAAGATGAAGGTATTTGTGGGTTTTTTTKTTSTTGTTGTTGTTTTGGTTTGGTTTGGTTTTTGGTACTAGGGATTGAGCCCAGGGACATTCAACCACTGAGCCACATCCCCAGCCCTTCTTTATTTTTTTTATTTTGAGAGAAGGTCTCACTAAGTTGCTGATGCTGGCTTTGAATCTCGATCCTCTTGCCTTAGCCTCCCAAGTCACTGGGATTACAGGCATATGCCATTGCATCCAGTTGTGATAGTGATTTTGATAAAAGCAAATTCTTAAAGATTTATGGGCTTTAAAAAAATGAGATTTCTAGTTGAAAAGGACAAATTGAATATATGTATTTATCTCTATTTCCTTTGTTTCTCTCACTGTTTGTCACTAAAACAACAAAGAAAAAAGTCTAAAATTATAAATGATAGCAAGCAAGAATATCAAAAAGAATTTGGAAGTCTTAAAGCAGTTAAGATAAAAGACAAATGATTTAGCAGACCAGGAAAAGAAAAATACCTAGTAGGTGAAGAACCGAGTTTATCTGTACAGAAGAACCTCGGTAAGACTTAGAAACTAGAAGCACCAGATGTGCTTGTGAAGGCATGGTTGTAGGTGAGCCAGAAAATAGGAGGTTTGGTTCAAATTCTTATTCTTGAAAATGAGCAAACAGCTGAGATGAGCAGACATTTGATGAAAGCAATACTGAAAAGTGAGATAACTGATAAAGAGAACTCTAAGGAGGTGGAGACAATGCAATGAACTGAATAAAATATTAAAAACAAACTGGAATTAATGTTCTCAGAGAACTAAATGAAGCTGTTATATCATGAAACAAGAACAGGCTACTATTAAAAAATGAACTTTCCAAGAATGAAAAATTTCTTAGAAACATAGCCAGGTGTGGTGGCACACAACTGTAATCCCAATGACTTTGGAAACTGAAGCATGAGGATCACAAGTTCAAGGCCAGCCTCAGCAATTTAGCAAGACCCTGTCTCAGAAAATTAAAAAGAAAAAAAACAACATTGAGGTCATAGCTCAGGGCTAAAGTACCTGAGTTCAATCCCCAGTCTCCCCACCAAAATGTGACTAGTGCAAAAAAAAAAGAGAAAGACAGAAAAACATGATAGTCTAAACAAATTCACTAGAAGAATTCAAAGGAAAAAAAAATAAGGCAGTCAAATAAAAAATCAAGGAGCTAGATAACAACAACAACAACAACAAAAAAAAATTAGAGGATTGTCCTGTGAGACAACCAATATCTGAATAATAGGAGTTCCAAAATGTGGGAAAGGAGAAATGGGAAATTACTATAAGAAAATTTCCCAGAAGACTAGTCTTTAAATTCAAAGGGTTCATCAGTTGTTCACTGTGAGGGAAAAATGGAATGAATAAGTGGATGGAAGGAAGGAATAAAAATCCACCATGGCACATCACTATGAAAAGGAAGCATCCCAGCTTAAGAAGATGACAAAAGATACCTGAGAGTTAAAACTGGACCCCTTCAAATAATCGGAAAAGAGAATGACATATTGTTTTCCATAGCAACACTGGAAGTTGGAAGATATTTGAACACAGTTCCAAAGTGTAACCTAGAGTTCTGTGCTCAGCTAAATTATCAATTAAGGGTAGAATAAAAACATTGTTAAGCATTCAAAATGTCCAGAAATTTAGTTTCCCTGCATTACTGCATACTAGAGGATGAATGACACCAAAACAAAATGTACATTAAGAAAAAAAGAAGGTTGGGGTTTAGGAAGTTTAGATTCCACCATGGAACTTCCAGAAAAATGACAAAAACCATTTCTAGGAGAATTTTTCAGCAAGCATAGAAAGTTACTGGTCCACATTGGAGTAGAGGGCAGAGGACCCCAGGAGTGAGGGAAGGCAGAGTGAAAAAGGGTTAAAAAAAAAAAAAAAAAAAAAAAACAGATCATTACCTGCTATGTTGGAAGTATTAAGAGTACCTTTGTATTTCTTTCATAATTTGGTGGTGAATTGGTGGTAGGAATATAAAAGCAAAGCAAATGTAAAAACAAGGATACCACCTCTGCTTCTAGCAGTGACACACTTGGTAATTTAGACCTCTTCTCCCACTGAGGATAACTGTTAATAGAACAGCTGTATTAAAAATAAAACATACACACTTAAAGGCACCAAGAAGTTAACTAGGCAATGAGGAATAACTAGGACAAAATCATGGAGAACAGAAGAGACCCTGAGAGGATAGCCCATCACGTGACACTGGATAGTTAATTCTGGAGGGAGAAAAGTAGCACTTTTGATAGCCAGAATCCAGGGTGTTGATAGCCAGAATCCAGGGGTTGCCACAGTAAGGCAATTGCCCTGGTAAACTTTCTTCATTTTTGATTGGGACCCAAAAATGTTACACTTTGCAAGTATGGGTGGCCAGATATAAATTGGCCTGCTGAGGGACTTCACTTAGCAACAAAATATCTCATTTCCTGAGTTTGGAGTGGAGTGACTCTAGATTATTATTGCCCCCCCAGTCTATAGGCATAAGCAAACAAATTTTCCTTGGAGGAAAATGACATCATTTTAGGACTCAACTTTTTTCTACAATTTTCATATGCAATGTCTGGCATATGGTGAAAAATAACAAGTTAATAAAGAGATAAGACAATAACAAGAACAGGCCCACAGCAGGTCCATATATTAGAGCTATTTCATGGACATTAAAATAACTGTGCCGAGTATGTTCACAGAAATAAAAGGTACAACTTAGAATTTTGGCAGAGAATTGGGAAATAAAGAAAATATAAAAGTACATCCTAGAATGAAAGATTTAATTTCTGAAATGAATTCATTGGATGGACTCAGTAGCAAATTAGACACAACAGAAGAGAAAATTAGAGGCTTAGAACATAGGAAGGAAGAAAATATGCAGAATAATGCATGGAGACAGCACACATGCACAAAAGATGAAAATTAAAAACGAGGGTTAGGAGCTAGGCATGGTACTGCCTGTAATCCTAGCAACTTGGCTTATGTAGGAAGATCAAAAGTTTGAGACCAGCCTCAGCAATTTAGTGAGACCCTGTCCCCCCCTCCAAAAAAAAAAAAAAAAAAGAAAGAAAAAGTGTTGGGGATGTGGTTCAGTGGTTAAATGCCCCTGGGTTCAATCTCTAATACCGAAAAAAGAAAAATAGAGGGTGTGTGTGTGTGTGTATATAGCTGAGAGGGCCTAGGAGTAGAGGCACAGTAGCAATGAGCACACCTGGTACCTAGAGCTTGGTTTCTCAATACTGCACTCCAAGGCTCCTGATTTCAGGACCAGGGTTGGGTCTGGGAAATATAAGATAATCCTAAAGTATCATGTTGTGTCAGACAGGAAGTGCTCAAAGAATGATGGGGGAACATGTCAAGAGGACAGTCAGCCAACTCTAAGGGGCTTTGACTGTCCAAATCTGGGAAATTTGTTTTGTTTTGTTTTCATTATCCTGGAGCTCAAACCCAGGGCAGTGTGCATGCTGGGCAAGTATTCTGCCACCAGCTACCTTCTCAGACTTGAGACATTTCTAAGTATCAAATTAGGTAATAGTAATGGATTCTAAAAATGAATCTATAGTGAACACCCACAAGTAGGAGTCTATGAGGCCAAACTGATGAATGAATGAATACACAAATAAGGGAGAAGGGAAAGCTTTTCATTATAGTGAAATGCCAAGTATGGAATGGAAAAGGAATGATAGGATTAAGAAATCATTGTTTGGAAACCCTGTAGTACTTGATTTAGGCAAGTTTGATGAGAAAGGGGTATTATTTACATGATCTCAGCGTGCCTCCCAACAATACACTTTGTAAATATTAATTTACGGGAGGGGGGCAGTTTTAAGGGGAGAAACCAGGTGTTCAGAATCACCATTCATAGTAATGGGACCAGTAGATGCTGTGGAGTACTGAGGGGACACAGTCTCCCCCTGTGGCATCTGTTCCAGAAATGTATAGCCTGATGCTGATCATAAATAAACAGCAGACAAGCCTGTAAACATTCTGCAAAAACAGGCCTTTATTCCTTTAAAAATATGAAGAGACGAGGAACTATTTCAGACTAAAGAGACTCGACAAGTAAATGCAGCCCCTGATCCTGGACCGAATGCTGGATTAGAAAACACTGAATAAAGGGTATTGTTTGGACATTTGGCAAATTTTGAATAAGGTCTGTAGGTAAGATTAGGTGATGGTTTTGTATGGATGTTAATTTTACGGATTCTATCGCTGCACCGTGGTTGTCTAAGAGCATGTCCTTGTCTCTAGGACACACTGAGTACTTCGGGGATATCAAGTCTTCAGTTTACCTTTTGAAACAGTTCAGAATAAAAAGGATGTGCAGAGGGAGGGGGGGCACAATTTGGAATCTCCTGCCCCCTCCCTATTAGAGAAGACACACAGCCTCTCGTCTATCAGGTGGTTAGTCCCAGGTGGATCTAAACTGGGTTGCACTAGTTATTTTCCAGTCACCTCTGGTTTCAGCCCTCTGGAGGTGGAGGTCCATTCTGTCATAGGCCTCTAGCACGACTTTGGGATCTGCACACCATCATCTTAATATCTARGAGAGAGATGCCTTTCATCTTGTTTTTCTTCTTCAAAACTACCTCTTAGCCTTTTGAATTTCTATTTAAATTTTAGAATTGACTTGTTAAGTTCCCAGCTGAGCACCAGAATGGCTCCAGGTCTGGCCGTCATACCTTTAGCTCTGTTGTTTGTCTTCCAGCTTTTCAGAAGAGCTGGTAGATGAAGCTCTGGGGGCCGTGGCTGCAGAACTTCAGGATGTGTGTGAAGACTATGCAGAGGCCGTGTTCACCTCGGAATTCCTAGAGGCTGCTCCATAAAGGTTCCCAAGGCGAGGCCCCCCTGTGCCACACTGGAGAAGAAAGGGCACCACGCTGTGTTTTAGGCTACAAGAAACCTTTATCCTCAGCTGTACATCCAGGCACAGAAGGTGCTGCCCACCGCAGGGAAGGAGATGCCAGTGAGCTCAGCCTCACTTCACATTCTCTCATTGTCATAGCAATRGTTCTAGAAGTTTATGATGGAACGTGTTAAATTTATCAGTGCTCAGGAAACATGAATTATGACAATATAATATTTTCAGAATGTATAATTTTCCTGTGGAGGTATTATGTTCATTCTTCTGGCTCAGTTTGGTGATCACAATGTTTTGAAAGGTAATGGATAAATAAATATGATTCAGGCAGGGATTCAAGCTACTGTTGAACCCCCAGGTGGCATCAGCATTGAGGCCGAGTCCCAGCACCTGGCTCATGTTTTTCATTTTTGGCTGTACCCTGACAGGACACCTGTCCTTCCTGGGTCACAGACTGATGTGGAACACAGAGTTAGGTTATGCTGCCAAACCTCTGCGCTGGTGCAGCTAAAAATAGGAATCCGCCAGTGAATAGGGATAAACACACCTCTCTTTAAGGTTCAATCCCTAGGTAATTTTTTACATTTTCAGTTCCTCAAAGTCTTTTTATTGCTCTGTCTTGACACATTCTGGTATAAAAAGCTTTCTCTGAATTCAGAGGAAGTTTGAGGATATCAGGAAAGGACTGGGTCTTCTCCCGGGATTGGTAAAGGCGTGGAGCCCACTACCTCTGAGAAGGTCCGAACTCTCTCTGTGTCCACATTGCAGAGGAGCCCTGTGTGGGAGGAGGGGACAGAGCTGGACAGCGTGAAGACTCTGGGTCTCCCCAGAGGAAGGAAGACGTGTAAGAAACCTAACAGCTTGGTCCTCCAGTGTCTCAGGTCGTGGTACCAAGGGAAAAGCCTCTTTTTTTTAGAAACTGAATTCAGAAAAAGGAAAGGAGGTGCATTAAAAATAAGGCCACTGCCTAGAAAAAGTTTCCCTCAATTATTTGCCCGAGGCCTGGTGAAAGAAATGTGAAGAACAAGTGGGGTGAGCCACACCCCAGGGAATAATGTGACTCTTGTTATCACACACTCAGTGCTGTCATCCAGGACTGTTTCTGAAGTGCAAGTCTTTCAGGTGGTGATTTAAGCTGCTCAATCACACTTATTTGTGCAAAATTGATTTTCATTTAATGTTAACATTTTCCTCAATTTTATGTAACTTCAGAATGTAAAGAGCTTCAAGGGAATTACAGGTCTGTAATCTGGAGAGTTAAATGTATGCACTTGAATGGATGGGAGGACCTGTTATTGGTAGTACGAAGTAATTTGTGTAACAATTTTTACTGTGCTGATTTTTTAAAAAAATAAACTCAGTATTTTAAAGTATGTGCATGTCTATTTGAAATAATTTACATCTTCTTTTTTTCCCCCACAGGCAAAACATGATGTGATTTACAGAAACCATTGAGAATACTTTTGTGTCTGCTATGAGAATAGTGGACTATCTGCCACCCCTTCCTCTCCCACAGAAAAAAATAAATTATAATAAACGCTAACCTTTGTTGAGCACATATAGAACATCGCTCTCAGTGCTTATTATTATTCCCATTTTACAGATAACTGCACTGAGGCACAGAAGGGGATACTTTGTTCAAACAAGCCTGTTTTCCATGCTAGGGTCATGGATTCATTTATTCCCATAAAGATAATTGTAGCAATTTGAAATGTTCACTTGAGTGCATGCTCCTGCTTGTCCTCCCCACTCAGCATGTCCTAGATACTGTCCTCTAGTTCCCTTTGCTGAACACTTCCTGCTTCAGCCTGTGTTCTGAAGGGTCTGGTCCCACTGACTTGCCTTGTTTGAGAGTCTCTCCTGTACCAGATAACCTCTTACCTGCCTCTCCATCCAGGTGGCTACTCCCTCGCCCCGGCCCATGGTAAAACACTGCAGGCAAACCATTCACCAACACAGAACAAACGGCAAGAAGTGCAAAACCTTTATTTGAAAATGGAAGTTGAGTCTTTATAAATTTTTCTATTTACAGCCCTCTGGCTACCCCAGACCTCCAGCGATGTTTGCTTCATTCACAAGCGTTGGGCATGTATAGGTCATTTTCTAATCCCCTTCAGTTTTCTCATGACCCGTTTATTTCCTATTTTCAGAAAGGGTCATACATGAATTTAGTACTTTAGTGTTGAACGGACTGTCCCCAGTTTATAGAGGTACTAAAATGTGTACATATCTTTCAGCACTGCTACTTGAATCCCACTTGGTGGGAGAAGACCTGAGCAGTATCCCGGCCCTGGTCACATTGGGCTTTACTGATTTCCCTACTCGCCTCCAGAGTGTTTAGGTTCTTTAGGGCAGGGGGACTCTGCCTAGCATGTGGTTGGTGCTCAGCGGATTCTTTTGAATTAATGAAAGAAAGGATCAAGATTGCACAGGGGCTCAGTATGGTCCACAGAAATTTGCTGACTGTGTGTGACCCTGACACAATGCTGTCTATGAGGATATGGGTCCCATTGCCAAGGTTCTGCTGCCTTTGTAATTCCAACTCCCTCCTCACTCCTCTCCCTCCCACACTCAGTCCCTGAGGTGGGTGGGTGGGCATGGGAAGTGGGTGAAGGAGGCTGAAAGGCGAGAGTAAGGGCCTGAGTCAAGCAAAGGAAGGTTTCCTGTGTCTTCCGGGCCGCAGCCTCAGTGTCTTAGCAGCTTGGCTGATGACAGTTCCCTGCCATACCTGCCCAATAGGGTGTTGGCCTCACCTTGGGCTCCTGATCATCACAGAAGTGCCCTTTGGAAGGGCCCCTTTCTGAGCCAGCTCCTGGTTCTTTGGTCTCAGAGCAGAAAGGTAGTGGCTTGCTATATGTCCTCCTCCGTATTGGCCGCCCCCCATTCAGCTCTGTTGGTCAAGAGCTGGGTGCTCTGAACTGTTTCCCTACTGGCTGAACCCAATAGCCAGAGCGTGGATTGGAAGAGCTGCCAGATATCCTGTGCACTTTCTCTCAGGCCTCAATGAGGGCCCCAGGAGAGCCAGAATGGGACTTAAGTGAACTCCATGAATAAGCCATCAATATCAGCAACCCCTGCCTGGAGCTTATGGCCCGGAGAGGCCAACTGCAGTCTGGCTTCTGTGAGCAGCCCCTTCCCTCCCTGCTACGTCAATTCTGAAACCTGGATCCCTGCCCCAGCCACACCAGGCCCTGCTCTGTTCTTGCCACTCTACCCACGGTCTCAATTGTGGCTCCAGCCTGAGCAGAGCCTCTGCCAGGTCTCCCCAGGCCTGCGCCCACCCTCCTGGATACCCCCTTTCTCTGCTGCCCTTCCTGGAATCCCAGTAGCCATCCTTGGTCTCCATGTGCCTGGTCACCCTCATAGACTTTTCTTGAACCAAACCCACTGCCTTTTGCTTTTTTTCTAGTTGACTCTGTCCATCCTGTGGCCTGCCCCCGGGTCCCCCCCCCCCTGCCTCACCCAGCACCCCAGCAGGTGTGTCCAGATGGGCATCACCACGTCCTGAAGCCCTTCACCTCCTACCTTTCCTCTTGGCTCTCATGGGCTCTGCCATGAGGCTGCTCCCTGCCCTCTCTTCTCCCAGGGCCCTGGGTAAGGTTTTAGTATCTCTTTGCTTCACTTGTCCCTTCTTGACCCCTCCTGCAGCCTCATCACAGGGGACTGCACCTCTTGCTCTGCCACCTGTCCTCCTTCCTCCTGGTGGTATCCTTCCCTTCCCATGACCTCCCGGGTCTTATATTGGGACCCCTCCCTTCCAAGATCTTACAACCCTTTATGAGAAACCTTGGAAAGTCTTTCCCAGTGATTTCTGGAGCATTTTCACACCTCCAACCCAACTAGGGGGCCCCCTCTGGGAGTCGGGCATGGCTGAGACCCTGCCCACCTCCCACAGAGCAGTCTCTCCTCTGTCACAGCCTTAGCTCCAGGCACTTGGCCCTTTGCTCTCTGCATCCCTCACCCACCTGCCCCCTGTTGGGCCTTCCCCTATGCACGCCCCTCCTCCCCCCTCCACTCCCAGCTAGTCCTGCATTTCCCTCCTGCTCCAATCAGCTTCTGAGGACCCCCACCCCCACCCTGGCACAGCTGCGGCTCTCATCTGCCATCACTGTCCAGCGAGGTCAGCTTAGGTTGGGCTGTAGGTCCCCAGGCCTGTACTGAGAAGCCCACTGTACATTCCTGCCACCTGCTGGAGTGGGGCCTTCAGTCCCCCAAATCTGTCTCTATCCATGCCTGGCAGCTCATGGGGTCATGGGAGGATTCCAGGGAGCCTCTGGCTCTGCAATGCTCTTGTCAAGAGCAGGGGTCTTCAGAGCCTTGGTCACATGGGCTCTGCCATCTCCCCTGCCCACTGAGCTCCATTAGCCTGAGCTGTGTTTGACTCAGAAAGGTCTCAGCAGAGAACACATGGGAGGGAACACATGCAGCCACTGTCCCTCAGGGCCCTAAAGGCCTTCTGGGAGCCATGGCCAGCTCAGTGAGAGGGGGTGCTCTCTAACCMAGATGGTATAACATGCCACCTTTGGAGAGGTACTAGAGGCTGAGAGAAATTATGTGAGTACTTTAAATGTAATACCACCTCACCTTTATCCAGCATCTGACAATTTACAAATGCCTTTAAATACACACTCTTCTCTGTAGGTCACCATAGCCACCCCTGTGGTATGTACCAGCAGTAATTCAACTAGTTAAGATTTTGAGGCACAAAGTAAAATGCTGTGTGACCTCTGTGCCTCAGTTTCCTCATCTGTGAAGTAGGTATAAAAATAGTACCTGCCCATAGTTAATGTGAAGATTAAAGGGTGTGGCCATGAAAACACTTATCCTGGCAGAGGATAATTGCTCAATAAATGTCAACTATTAGGTTTCCCACAGAGGATCTTGTAAAAGGGAAACTAGCCTAAGGAGTATAGCTCTGAAGTGCTTTCCTTATYTCTTGCTCCCATTGATTGTGTTCTTTTCCTGCTCAAGATCCCAAGTCTCTCCATTCCTTGCCCTTCAAACTGGACACTTGGCAGCATTTTTCCTGGTCTTGCCTTTGGCTGCTCCAAGCATCTCATCTGGATCAGTCCAGCAGGTCTGCTTGGGCTGCCTCAGATCCACGTCCTGCTCCAGGGCTTCTAGCGCCAACAGAACTTTCTAAACTGGGTCAGGTTCTTATGGGGTAGATGTAGTATTGACCCCATTTTACAGATGAAGAAATTGAAGCTTATGGAAATTTAGGGACTTGCTTGGGGCCATACAAACACAATGACATAGCCACAATTCAATCTGCATCCTTCAACTTCAAGTCTAGTGTCCTTTTGTTCTGTCACAGTCGTGTCTTTCTCTGAAGCAAATGATCCTGAGATGGCCTAGAAAATTTTAGCAGCTGTCAAATATAAGTGCTATTTTTTTTAATTGAGGATTTAACCCACGGGTGCTCTACCATTGAGTCACATCCCCAGTCCTTTTTATTTTTTATTTTGAGACAGGATCTCGCTAAGTTGCTGAGGCTGGTCTGGAACTTGCAATCCTTCTGCTTCAGCCTCCTGAGTTGCTGGGATTATAGGCGTGTGTCACCACACCTGGCTGCCATCTCCGTTTTTAAAGTCAGCAAATACATGGTCCTGCACTATGCCAGGCCCGGTGTTTATTTCTGGGTATGAGAAGATGCCTAAGATGTCCTCCCTTCCTGACAGCCCAGTACAGTGATCAGGTTAGAGCTGAGCTACCAACTCATTTTCCATCCACTCCATCCTAACCCACATTCCCTTGTCCCCTACACTCTTGCTAGGGCTGGGCCCTGTTCACAGAGTAACGATAATCACTCTACTACCTGGGTGCTAGGTGCTAGGTGCTAGATGCTTTATTTACATTATTCCATTTGGTTCTTATACTAACACTAAAAATAGAGATTATTAAACCATTTTACAGATGGGTGAAGCCAAGTGAGGTGGACATTTTCCAACTAGAAAGTGGTTGTCATGGAGTTTGACTGCAAATATTGTGTAGTGGTCCTTTCTGGGTTCCTGGTTGTTGGCCAGCCCCCACCCCTTCAGTCTCCTGCTGGGTGCTGGGCTCTGCCCTGAAGGTATAAGTTGCTGCAGCCACCTCTGCCCTGTGGTCTTACCCTGACCTTGGCCTGCTGTGCCAGGCAATGTATGCTGAACTGGAAGCAGCAGTGTCTGCCTGACCCGGGCTGTACCCAGGCTTGCTGCACCTGTTGAGTACTATTCTGTAGATGGACTTCTGCTCCTGCCCAGGCCACCTCAGTGGCAAGGCCAGTGTCCCCAGCTCACCACTTTAGTTGCTTCTGTCTCCCAAACACCTCATTCTCAGGCATCCTTCCCCTCACGGTGACAGAGTGGACACCAGCAGCCCAAGCCTGACAGTT